ACCTATCCAAAGCATTACAGATAAATTAATAAACTCTGTATTCTTCATTATGCAAGATACACGATTTTCCAGTAACACTGTATCTTTCACACACCTTTCTCAAACAGTGTCATAGGCTCTCTGTTTTTATTTAAAATGGCCTGGATTTAAAGCTGCCAATGGAGTTCTGGCCAGTTTTCTGCTTCCTGGCTAAATACCTTCTACTAAACTAAAGCAGAATCAGGAACATACATTGTAGCCTGCAAATCTTCAGAATATTTTCAAGTGCTCCTCAAGCATAGGCTTGATTTATAATTAAGTGGCTAATAATTTGGTCCTAAATTTTCAAGCTGTTAAGCTGACAAGCTGTTCCTAGTGAGTCTCAGTTTCATCAAATAGAAGTTTTTGCTACAACTCGTGTACTGTGAAAATAAATACATAAATAAAAATGTTGGTAGCCTTTACCACAGCCAGAGTTCCAGACCACATTTTATCTAGAATGAAAACTCTTATCACAGAAATCTCTCCTTATATGTCTAAATTCTAAGGACAGATGCACTCAGCACACAAAAAACCCACAAGAAACTAGAATTAAGATCTTCCTTTGGCGTTGCTGAACTACCCTACCAGCTCCTTTGTCTGAGGATGGAAGGAGAAGAAAAAAACAATTCACACACAACAATGCCATCCCAACTCAGAAAAACAGGACATGGCATCTTTCAGGATCAACACAAATTACCTGGTGAGGTTATGAAACTGAGACATGATGTCCCGTACAGACCAAACACGACAACTTTAGGACAAGCCATGGAACAAGACGTCAAATGCTGTGCTGGCTGCCAGGAGTTTACAGATAAGCCTTTCCACCACCTCAGATTTATGCTGCTTTTCTTGCCCATCTCCACTCTATTCTGCAAAGAACACAGCAACTTTCTCATGTCCTTCAAGCATGCACTCTACAGGAAGTACAAGCTTCTCTGCTTTGCTCTCTATTTTGTAAGAGGAAACCACCACCTGTGCTAATCCTCTTCTGAAACATTTATAAAACAAAAAGCAGCCAAACTGACAGGACTGCAAGACAGGAAATAAAAGGAATTTTAACTATACCCAGGACCCTCCACCGAGCCCTGCTGAAATTATTTTCTTCAGACTTGTTAAGCTAATGACTGTTTAGCTGCCCAAGAAAAAAACTGAACACCAACCTTTGGAGGTGGCAGTCGACAAAGTCTGGCTTGCCCCACCTAAACAAACTGCTCGCCTCAGGTAAGAAAGGATGGTGTGAAGCTGGACTTAAAAGCTATGACATGCAAACATGAGACCCGCCAGGCAGACTTGCTTCAGAGCTGAATGTCTGAAGGACAAAACCGTGAAGAACTGTTCAAAGAGCCATTAGCGAGTTAAGTAAGAAATTCAACGTGGAAACACACGACCAGTTCACCAGCTCCTGAGGAAAGCAGGAGCGTTTTAACCAGCAGCTGTCACATTTCGGCCCCATAAAGCATTTCAGGGCTTTCTGTGAAGATCAGTTCTACACTGAGCACAACCTCCAAGATAGAAACTGCTCAGCAGAACTAACTTAGCAGGCCTTGGCACCAAATACTTATGCTTAGTATCTTCTTTTGCGGCAGCTGCCACTCCTGCCAAAAAATCATACAGTAAGTCTATTAAGAAAAATGCAGCCTCTGGCTCTTCACAACTTTCATGTATGATCCTCAAGGTAGCTAAAGCCTGAAAAAACATCCAAGCCTGCTGGCACAAGTACCAAGTTTTTGATTGCAGCCAATCTGCATCTGACTAGATTTTATCATAGCATCTACAAGACAACCTATGTATAATGCAGAGTCCTTGCTTTATTGTGCAGGGAAAGACGTTGCTACATATTTCTTCTTCATTCACGACTGAAAATGTAAAGCAAGCTCGTTACTCCACAGAAATGCTATCTCTGACTGCTGCAAGAGCGTTCAACATAAATGATAAAGTGCTATTATCTAATGGATGAAAGGCAGCCTGTGAGTAAATTAGTGTCTCTGTGATTTGTACAGGCCACAAAACCAAAAGCCTGGAACCAAGGAGCCTGATGCTTGAAAGCCTTTGTTGTGTTCAGAAGTGTTTTCTTCAGAAGTGCTTTATCAAATTATCATCAAGGATAACAGAGTATCAAAGGGGAAGTCTAGTGTCAAATGACTTCAAGAAGCACCTAATTTCATTTTTCATTAGGAAAAATAGAACAGACTTTTATAACAACTTATCTTTGCTTTTATAGAAAGGATTACGACAACTAAACTCGTACCCTTGTTTCCTCGTCAGAGAGCTGCAGAAAAAAGCTCCAGCAGTCAAGAGCCACTTGTGCTCCCTGTTCCTTCAACGCAAACTGGCAACTCTAATCCACACTTTTAAGAACATCTCAAACCGTATTTGAACTCCTTGTTTCAACACTGATGTCAGAATAGGATTGGAGCACATGACGTCCTTCTAAATCCTTCTAAAGGCCCTTCCACAGCTCCTTGTGCCCAGACGCCTTTGTACCACGAGCAGGCAGCCTTAAAACGGGCAGGTTTTCAGCAATAACACGCTCTGTGTTTCAGAACTCGCCGGGCTCAAGGCTTAGGCTGTTACTAGCCATGACCACGGCATCTGGCACCAGCAAAGCACCAACATCCGCATCAGCGTTCAATCGCAAGGTGCTCGCCGGGGGGAACCGCATCGCTCGTGACACAAAACAGAAGAAAACGATGCTTAACCGCACTTGACTCGAACCAAATGAGTCCGTGGCGGTGCCCTTTTTTTTCTTTCAAAAAGGTTCAAAGGGACACAGCCCAGCGAGGCTCCCCCCGCGGGTGGGGGAGCCCCCGTTACCCACGCGGCGGCCGGAGCCGGGGCTCTCC